GTATCCCCAAATTTCATTTTAACAGTACCCTTCCCATGAATTGGAAAAGTTACCCCATCAATAGCTACTAGCATATTCTCATTTTTCACAGGAGAAAAAGTATCAAACAATTCATGATTTTTACAAAAATGATGAGATGCAGCTGTATCAAAAATCCAACTATCATCATTTTCTTCCAAATTGTTAACATTAGGCTTGAGCTATAAAATGGGACTGTGCATGGGAATTATTTTTACTCTTTACTCAACTTGGGTTTATTCTTACACTTAGAAGGATGTTTTATTACTACTAGATACAGCTGAGGAAACAGAAGAAGCAGGTGAGGGTGATCTGGAAAAATTACCTCTCATTCTACAGTATTTTTTTAATATGACCTGGACGGCCACATTTATAACACTTAAGCCCTTTAATCTGCTTAAATTTGGGTTCACAGTGAGTACTTTGAACTTCTATAGTCTTATTGGAGTTTTCCCTATCCATCTCTCTTAAATTAAGACGCGTTTCCTCTGCTAGAATTTCAAGTTCAACATTTTTAAAAATGAACTTTTCATCTGGCCACCTCAAAATATTCTGAACTACTTGATCAAATTTATCTGGAAGGAACCTAAGAACTGGAAACATATATACATCTCTTACAGCCTGATTAATATCAGCTAACTGTTCAGTTACGCGTTTTAATCTAGAAGAAAAGAAACTAATACTTTCATTTGGCTTGATTTTGCAATTTAAGAACTCTGAAAACAGGGACATATGTCTTGACCGATAATCTGGCTGGAAATATTTGGCAAGCGTATTCCATGCCACTACCGGGTCATCAATTTCACATATCAAATTTCTATATTCAGGGCTTACATTCATATAAATTAACGATAATGCTAATCGACTTCTATTTTGATAGTCGGCAATAATTTCTTTTGTAATACCCTTAACATCATCTAAATCAGGACATTTTTCAATACCTTTGACCAAAAGCCATGCATTTTTTTCATTCAAGACAAACTTCATATCTTTAGACCATGTAAAATAATTACATGCATCAAGTTTAGCAATATTATGCATGACACTAACAGTAGCCATATTTGAATTTTAACAAAAACCGCCCCCCAATCTCTTAAGTCCTAAATTAACTTTAAACTTCAAAAGTCAGCACTAAAAATAACTCAGGAGCTGGGGCCCATAACCAAAATGATGCTAAAACAAAGTTTAAAGTTTAAAGAAATTAAACATTTAGCAGTAGTAGCAATGAAAGCTCCCTGAGATATGTTGTGCAGACATTGAAGACAATAAAAGATTTTAAACTTAACCAATTTATTAACAATGTAATAAAGAATAAAAACACAAAAAATAAATGTCAATAATCTCATAGTCTTAGGAAAAATATAATATAATCATCATTCATCAAATATTTTTACCTGGTCTCCAAAACACTGGCATTCTATACAAACAAAAATGCCCTAAACAGTAATTACGCGGCCTAAAAATAAAGCTGGCTACACATTTAATCAGTCCATAATCAATGGTCAAGAAAAACACCTGAAAATTTAAATGAAGTTCTTGAAAACACTTAAAACCGGCCTAACTATGTTTGCACAAGGAATCGGCGTTCACGTATTTTTAATTCTGCCTTCATTGAAGAACATGGATGCCACCCACGGCAGTCACTCGAATGGTAGCCTCTGGAACCATCATCTCGCAAACCGGAATCAAGGCATTTTTATTCACCGGACTGCATGCATCCTTTTGAAGGGGCTGGAAACCGCTCACTCACTTGCCGGGAAACCAGGAACTAGAAGGGTTGAGCCAGAGCGACGTGAGATACTTATAGCAGAAGTAGGAATGACGTCATCTCACGGCAACCAATCAGCTATCGGCACGAATCGGCTTTTCGGATGACGTAGCATCATGTTTCGTTTTTGCATCTCAATTAGGTTGAAACAGTCCGTTCTCAATGCAAACAGTGGCAGCAAGAAAAAGAAGTAGAAGTAACTACTATATTACATTAAAATAAGGACTAAACTAAATAAACATTTCAAGGAGGAGAGATGATGCAGTAAAAGGTTTAAAAATAAGCTATATTTTCCAACAACCTTTACGGCTGCGAATATGTTTGTGCGCATGCGCGTTTAATGTGTAACGGAGTTATACACTAAGCTAAAATTATCTAATTCAGTTAATGTTGCAGATTGCGTTGTTCCTTAATCTTCAAATTGGATCCGGCTTATTATTTTTTGCAGACTGTTAGAGCAATTTCATAAAAGTAAGCTTGAACTTTCGATTATGTCAAATAGAATTTCTGATATATATCTACTAATATGTAATTTGTATCTACAAAGCGAAAGTATGTTTTGAAATCCAAAATCTGTTTATCAATTTCATGCTGCGGATTGAAAGTTGATCTGTCAGCACTATCCTTATCTTCAGGACAGATTTTTTTATTTTATTTGGCTTATAATTCCTTACTAAGTGTAGTATTTCATCTCGATGTACTCCGTCTTTGATAGCCCACCAGCGGCTGAGCGGTAAAGTCGCTGAACACTGGTAGTTCGGTCCGAGGTTCGAATCCCGCGAACGGGCTGGCTGCATGAATGTTTTCGTGGTTTTCCCCATGTGTAACGTGTAGACGAGCCAGTTTCCCTTAGAAAGTCCTCCACGAAGCCATCCCTCCTCTTAGGCAGATAGCCCTAGTGTGCTTTGCCATAATTAAATACACCACACCACACACCACCATCTTTGATATGATTTAAATCAAGTCATTATAATTCGCTTCCGATAGTGAAGAAAGTGACCCAGAGGTTATTGAAAACGAAAACATTTCGATTGACAAATTAGTCGGTATTCTCAACACAGCAATTGTAGGACTTGAACAGCGAAACTTTGTAAATAAACAAGAAATTATGTCTGTTTAATAGAATTAAAGAGAAAGTATTATCACCTGAAACGAAGCAACTTACATTGAAGGAAATGTTTAATAAAGTAAACAAATAAATATTAAGCTTTTTCTTTTTGTAAATTTTGATACCCTTTAGATCATAATTGTTCTTTATTTCATAAATTACGGTTTCATATTTTTAATTTTGTAATTTCTGCATGCCATCTTACCAGATTTAAACTGATGATCTATAATCCGGAAAAATCGATAATCCGGAATCGCTGAAGTCCCGACGAGTCCGGATTAACGACTTTTGACTGTACTATGTTTCTCAAATAAGTGTTCAAAACCCTCTTGTCCTAAATACTTGTAGAATTTCCAGCCACCCAAAAAAATAGTTGTACCAGGCACGCGACTAAAATTTTGCCAACACGTCATAAATCACTTAATTATCACACAAACAAACTAGCAAATCCAAGTTTACACATAAAAAGGGTTGCCATAGAAACCAACATCGCCCCCAAAACCATCACAAAACAGAACACGCAATCGTGCCAAAAACAGCGCACAACACATATCGCCGCATTTGGCAACCTTAGGGCGCATATAAGAGTAGAGCCCATTATTTATTTATCTTTAAGAATGTATAAAATTGAAAAATTATTATTATTATCATGTACTCTTATATTTTGTGATTGGTCTCGAAGATATTTTTGCTTCTTTAGATATATGAATTATATTCTGAAATACTGCATATTCCTTCAAATTGTAATTAAATCATAAAAAATATTTATGCATTCATCTTCAGAACAAAGTCATGCTATCATTTGTGTTGTAATCTTCTGTGCGTAGATCTTCACTCAAGTTTTTTAACAATTCCTGTGTTTAGTAAATCATGTTTTTACCTATCACTTTACTATGTGATTAATTGTACTAAGATGCATTTAAGTATTGCACTTTTCTACATTTCATCTTAATTTGTGGGGTTTCGCAATATTCGTTTGTTTTAATTCTTTAAAATTTTCTTTAAGTAATCCATACATGGCTATTGCTGATTCTTTAATGTGAATTGTGCTATTTTATTGCTTCAATCATATTATCCAGCTTCAAATAAAGTCAGGAATGTTTACATAAATACAGCATGTTTAATGTCTATATATAAACATAAATACAGAATGTTTACATAAATATAGCATTACAGTCATGTTTATATAAATACAGCATTATTTTAAATAAATCATTGGATTTTGCGAATTTGCAAGTTATTGATTGCCGATGTTCTTGATATCCATATAATGAAGGGAAAATCTTAAATTTTACATCTGCACATGTAACTTACTTGTGACACATTTTATAATAGATATGCATTCTATTCTTAAAATGGCAAGTTTACAATATCAGGGGGCTAGAAAAGGTGTGCAATACCATTATCTGTTTTTATTTTTTCAAAGGATCTAGTGGTACTTTCTGTAGTATGACTTATTGCTTTACCTTGAAGATTCAGCCCTTAAAAGCCACTAGGAGAAAAATGGAATTTCTTCTGTAAATATAAAACTAAAACAGTAAATTATTGAAGAAATAAAAAAGAAATCCTACAGCTCTGCTTGCAAAATATTTTAGATATTGAAAAGTAAGCTGTATATTTTTTGCAGCATTTCTACTCTATGGATGGCTGAGATTCTTGTTTATGTTTCAATCTTGAATTGGCTAATGTTTTTCTTAGAATGTCTTTCTTGGATTTAATATTATCGTAAAATTCACTTTCAAGTTTAAGTGTTCTTTTAATGCTGACACTTATTATTGACTTCTAGAGACCATATTCTGTTTACAGTTGAAAAAAATCTTTTGAAATCTACTTGATGTAGTTAGCAGCAAAACTAATTTACTAATTGTATAATCAGTCTCATTTAAAAATCCCAGACGTTTTTCAAATCTAGAAAAAAACCTGGGCTATAACCACATAATCTATGAAAGTTTCAAGGAATTCAAATAAGTATTTTTTCATTTTATATTCCTTTTGCATCTCTAGACATGAGTTATGATATAAAGTTAAAATGCTTGTACTTTTTTGTTATTTATTTAAATACATTATTAAACATAATTTATATTTTTTTATTAATTTTTTTGGTAGGGTCATTGGCTTTGGACATCCGGTAGTTTAATGGTGAAAGTAAAACAAGCCCAATTAAAACAACGGTTAAGAGCTGAAAGCCGCCTTAGAAAACAAAGGAAAAGTTCTGATTCCTCAAGTCATGATAAAGCAGATTAATAAAATGCCATCAATATTTTGTCATGCATAGTTAGGTATTTTGTTACAGTGTCATGTACCTGGAGATATATAGCCAATTATGTGTGATTCTAGTGAAAATGTTTGTGATGTTTGTTTTGTACAAATTGTACTGTGTTTTGTAATTAATACGAAGAGTCATTATGTCTGTAAAAATAAAAATGTTATGGAACTTTTTTATATTCACAAAATATAAATCCATTGCAGTGTCGTGAATGATGATAATAATGGCTGTATTTAAGATCTAAAATAGTAGTCATTTTTTTGAAAATTATATGTGTATTTAAATTATATTATTAAAATTTTAATGGAAGGTCATGAATTTCAAAATAACACTGCCGTAACATATTCCCCCCCTCATGTTATGAATGTCAGGCCACAGTATTTTTTAATTGCTATTGCATGTTTCGATTTCCTTTTTATTGGTGTCTAGGTCACAGTATGTGTTAAAAATGTAATGACTTACTTTTATAAAATTCAGTTTGTAATATTATTTATTTTTTACTCATGCCCATTCCTACTTTTTAAAAAAAAAAAAAATTATTTGTAGAGTGTTGTAGTTTTTTCTCAATGACAGCATGTATGCTGAAGTATTTTAATCTAGAATATGGATGAAAAAAATCAAGTTACTTTGTAGATCAGCATTTGTCTAATTTGTAATTAAATTTCTTAATACAGGAAAATTTGATTAATATGTACATTAATTGTATGTTTTACTTTGTTTCAGTCCTATTTGTTATGATTCTATTAGTCAAAATGTGTTTTGTTTTAAATTGTCAGATACAATCATGTTTTATGTGTTAATGAATAAAGTAAAGTTTGATGTAATATTTGTTAAGATGAAAATGTGCGGTTAACTAGAATTAAACCTAAAAATTTGAGAAAATGAAGGAGATGCATCATTACTGCTTATTTGCTAAAATTGTAGCTAAATTAATGTTACTCCTTTGACTGCCCTTCATTTATTGTGTATCTGGTATTCTGTTATAATCTCAGTAAGGTGATACTCAAAGCATTGACTTTCATTATATTGGAGATAAATTTTAATAGATTTTGTACTTAACCCTCTGAGTAGCATTACCGCCTTTATCTGATCGTGATATTTTTTGTTCCTTGGTATATATTAGCTCATAATTTTAAATATTTTCCTTTCTTACTTTCTTTAATGATGTAAATATCATCTTAATGAATAGAAGTTCATGAGACTAAAATAAGTAATTATATGCATTTAACTAGTGAATGCTGTTTAAATTCAGGTCTTTTGAGCAGCTTCAAAAAGCTGTGCCAGTCAGAGGGTTAAAGTAAGTTAAGAACACTAAAATGTGTGTATCTCCCCCCCCCTCCCTCTTTGTGTTATGCTTCAGTATATTACTTAATTATCATGTAACAAAATTACGTAAATTCATTTTTGCTATTGATTTAGTTTTGTATTTAATTAACAGTGCTTGAAATGATAGAATCTCTCTTCTTTAGAAAAAAGAGAGAGAGGGAAAAAATTACTGATTGTACCATTGTTGGATTCCATTTTAAATAAATTATAAGCTGAGGAAAAATTTTTCATTTTTTTCCCCTGTTAATTTTTTAAGAAGTTGCTACTGCTGCATTCCAAAACTCCCAACCATTATTCATACTCCAAACATTACTGATAATGCTTAAATTTTTTCCATTTTTCAAAATGAAGTAAATTTAGAAATTGCAGTATGCAACTAATTAATCTGTCTTATACCTATAATTGAATCCATTTTTAAATTTCATAGATGCTTTAGTGTATTTTGAAATCCTTTAATATTCTAAGTTTCAGTTTAATTTTTAAAAATGATAATTTTGTATTGATATATATGAGTATTCCATTATATATATATTTACTGTACAGGTACAGATGTACATAATAAGGCATTATATGTAAATAAATCTATAAATATATTTTTCTTTATATACAAAAGTATCATATTATATCTTTGTCAAATAAGTTAAAGCTATACCATTATTTAGAAGTTAATCTGATCTTTGTAAGATTGTTGTGTATTTTTTAAGTATGTGTTATGTATCTGATGTTCCTGTAGTAAAACACACCACTTATTGAATTATCTATCAAGTTTAAAAATAAATTTTTTGTTTATATAATTTGTATTTATTTAAAGATTCATGCCCCTTAAAGAATTTTTTTATATGCAGTATCTAATCATATCTTTTAAAATATGCATAAAGCTAAAACAATCTTTTTCTTGCTTGTATAATGAAGTAGAAAGTATCTTATGATAACTTGAGTTTCTGCATGAATGTTGTTATATACAAATGCCCCAGTCTTATGGATGAGTTACATTCTAAATAATAGTTCATACCATGAATTTTTTCATAAAATGCTGTTAAGTTCTTTAAGCATATCTTCTAACAATGTCTGTGAGATAAAAGCTATAAATACTATCAAATAAATAATTACTACTTTACTACACAGAATGTACCTTGGATTGTCATATGTGAAGCCTATGTGGATGGGGTGAGGGGAAGACCTTTGCATGAGTGGGAGTAAGCCAACATCAGACTCATCGACAAGTAAAAGGAACATTTGTGATGAGAGGTGGAAGATGTTGGTATGTTAGATGAGCCTGTAGCACCAATTTCTGAAGTGTGTTTTTTAAGAATACAAGTGTTTAAACTTTTCTGAATAGGTTTTCTTTTGCTTTCATTGTAAATAAGTTGATATTACATTACTGTTTGACATTGTGCACAGTAGACTTAACAAACTTGTAAGAATTTTTTTTGTCTTGGTTTTCCAAAAATGGTGAGGCTTTTTCCATACTTGGTAAAAAGTTGGCATAAACTTCATGGAACTTTTTAACTGGGGCAATCTCTTCTTTCTCCACTCTCTGTTGCTTACATCAAGTCTTTGTTATACAAATTTTTCTATGTGGGGAGCTAGCAGAAATCCTCCTCTTACAGGTTAAGGTCGGTCGACAAGACTCACAAGCACTTTCTTCTCTTCATCATCTTGATTAAAACCACAATAGTCATGAACAAGATAGGGGCACATGCATTCCCAAATGCCATTCGTATTTTTTTATCTCCCTGTCTCCATGCATTACGGATGTTCTCTTCACAAGTTAAATACTGTAGTTCTTTCAGAACTGTCATAAAATAATATCAGATTTTCCTGCAACAGCTGTAAATGCCTAGAAATATGTATGGCATGCACATTTTTTTTTTTTTTTAATTGGCAATCTCACCCTGGTCCATTGGTTGTTAAGATCCATGTTGTATTAGATGGTAAAAACACAGCTTTAATATAGATATTGAAATCACCTAAATGTTGCAGATGGCCAAGTTCTTTATCTAAGATCAAGAGAATCATGAAAGAAACTCCATTTTTTACAGTATAATTCAACATGGGATGAGATGATAAAAGAACCACATCTTAAATATTACCAGTGTTATCCAAGCTCAACCGGTCTTCACCTGAATTTAAGCCCTGAATATACAGTATAATATATTACTTCAAGGGATGATAAAAAACAAAGACTATACCATTTTTGGCGTAACAAAACTGTTAATTGGAATAATATGAGGTTAGTTCCCCTCCCCTTTAAATGTCATTCTCTGATATTCCTTTTTGTGATGTGATTTAATAATCTCATTGTTTAATTCATAGTTTTTTTACAAATGGTATGCCAAAAGAATTTTTAAGAAATTAACTTTATAGCTCTTCAAAACCAAAAAATTCATCATCGCTATTCTCATGCAGTTTTGAAACTTTAGAACCATAATCTAAAAATCGTAAAATTCATTAACCTAGATATATTCTTATTTTAGGCAAATAATATTACGAGTAAGTTATGTGCTAATTAGCGAAGTTTGCTAATGTTTTCTAGAACACGAATTTTATAAGATTCTGTAAATAAGATTTTCTTTTTGAAAAAAATTATATTAATCTACTCTTTCCACAACAATTTGTTAGCTGTGCTCTTCGCTTAACCCATTAACACCAAACCCTTTTTGTAAACCGATATTTTATTTTAAGTTAGATACCAGAGCAAACATTTGCTTTTTAACTTATTGTATAAACAAATAAACAATGATATTCAACAATAAATAAAATAATAAAAGAAGAATTAGTTAGTTCTAAGCACTGGTGCTCAGCCCACCTACCAGGCGAAGCCTGCCATATGGCTATGAGAGAACAGGCCAATCCAACTACAAACGAACGTAAACGGTTACATAACGGAATATAACAAACTTAATAAACATCTGGTAATAAGTTCAGATCATACAATCACACAAAACGAACATAAAAAACTCAATAAAAAAAGAGGGGTTATTTAAAAAAAAAAACAGGTAAAGCAGATATGTACATTCAAAATACTCTGGGTCAAATTAATATACAGAGGTATTTCCATTTCTGTGTTTTTTGCTAATTTTTAAATCTTTATAAGTTTTTACTTTCAATTATTTATTATTAAAATCTTTTTTACATTATCAAAATTCATCTTAAATTTGTAAATTTACTTCAATTACATCTGTATTCAATATGATTTTCTGCTTTGTTATATTTTGATTCAATATTCTTCGATACCAGTATTCGCTGTGTACCTGGGGAGAACAACAATGCAGAAAAAATTGCATTAGGTTTCTCGAGAATGATAAGTGTTTTATTACGTATATTTCTTGTTACTCTGAAAGTTAAAAAAGGGGGGAGGTAAACGGCATGTAATAAAAATTATCATAATTTAAATTGTAAAAATTTTGATAGCGTTCCAGCATTTAGTAAGATGATACTAAATTTAATTTTTTGTATGGCTACGAGACACATGCCAATGAATAAAATGCTCCTTATGCATTATTAGAGATCTTTAGCTAGGGGATTAAAAATATGAATACTTTGAAGAGGAAAAATTATAAGAATTTAGTCAGCTTATTATTTGAAATGGTAAATATCGTCTGCTACTTTTAAATTTAATCTTATTTCTAAGTGTTGCATGTAAACAAACGGTAGATTGAAGGATGTATTTTTGCGCTTTCCGAATAAAATATTCCTATCCATAATTGAAAAACGTTGTGAAAGGCATAGATTAAAATTTCAAAATGCAAAAATAAACAAAATAATTAATCAGAAAGGGGAAAGCATTGAATCATTACTTTCACTTTGAAAAAAGACATAAAACAGATACCTAAAAAGGTACAAACTGTTTCTAATGTTCCTAAAGTTAAATCACTGGTAACAAGGGAAACATCCGCCGATGTAGAAATCAATTGTAAAGTCTTTAAATACATCTGTAGCAACAATGAATAAGGTAATAAACTAAGACTTAAGACTTTAAAAGCTAAAGAAAATGAATATTTATCAGTTTTAGCCGAGGCAGACTCGAAGCAGAAAAATTTTAGAAAACTGTTTAGCAGGAGACAAATGGAAATGCATTGTTACCCTTGATGAAGCATGGGTTTAACTAATTGACTGCAAGAAAACAGAAATGTTTATTTGTTTATTATTTAATAGTTCTAATACAATTTAATTAATAGATAGTGGTTCTATGAAATCACATTTCTGTAATGATGTTGCTCAGAAGTTAAATTGTAAGTGTATTGGTGAATCAAAAATTAAGCAATTTCTTTTTGGTGAAGTTGAGACTTCAGAAAATGTGTATAAAAACTATGTTATTGAAGTAAGCAATATATATAGTAAATATAAGTGTAAATTAGAGGTACTTGGTCAAAACAAAATATGTTCTGAAATTAAACAACTCCCATCTGGTTCGTGGTTACGAACTTAAGTCACATGATATCAAATTAAGTGATTTAGAAAATGGTCCATGTAATGTCGATAAAGAGAGAAAATTACTAACTGGTGCAGATTTTGCTAACTGGAAAAAAATTGTTCCCCTTACGTGCAGAGCAGTGCATACGCAGTTAGGCTGGACTGTTATGGGTAAATTTAATGGCACTGAGCCAACTACGGTAAATACTGCATCTCTCCTAATATCTTCTCTGTTGGTGAAGGGTCAATGCATCAATGTTCTCTGGAAGTTAGATGTTTTCGGTATTAGTAAACCTTCCGTTAGTAAAACCAAAACCCAGTTACAGGAAGATACGCAAAAATATTTTCTAAGAGACTTTTACGGTAAATTCAGACGGAATAGCATTACCTTGGGTGTCGGATAGCTCGCTTTTATCCGAAAACAAAGTGATAGCAAAAAATGTCTTGTAAGTAATAAAAAAAAAAAAATTAATGAATTGAAAAAGTACCGGATAAGAATAAATATAAGGGTGTACATTATTTGCCTCATAGAGCCGTTGTTAAAGAAAATAGTAGCACGAGTATAAGACCATTGTTTAATGCAAGTTCTTATTCGCCTGATTACCCATCATTGAACGACTGTTTATCTACTGGACCAAATTTAATTGAAACTATACCTTATACGGTTTCGCAAGAAAGCGTTCTTCCAAATATCTATAAGGGAAAAAGATACAGACTTTTTTAGATTTATGTGGTTCAATATGGATAATCAAGAACAAGTTGAACTGTATCGGCATAGAAGGGTAGTTTTTGGTATTACCTGTAGTCTGTATTTATTTGCCGCTACAATACATTATCATTTGAGTGTAGTTTCCGAAAGTTAAGTCATACAGCGGAGATTTTGAAAACATCCCTTTACGTAGATAACTGTGTGGCTAGTATGGATTCAGAAATAGAAATGAGAAAGTTTGTAAATGAATCACAAATAATTATGGCTTCGGGTCATTTTAATTTAAGATTCTGGAAATCCAATATAAGAAGTGTTGTGCCAGAGGAAGATTCCTTCACGGAAGGAGATGTGTCTGTTTTGGTCCTTGTATGGCATACAGATACAGATACCTTATCTTGCAAAATAAGTCAAGATATAAAATTGGATGGCCCAGTTACTAAAAGAATAGTTTTAGCAGTAGCTCATCAGGTGTTTGATGTTATAGGACATACGGCTTCTGTAATGTTGATTCCAAAACTAATTTTACAGGAAACATGGAATTTAAGGTTTAAATGGGACGATGTTCTTCCCGATGAATTAACCAAAAAATTTAGGTTTTGGCGTAAAAAGTTGTACTTGCTATCCAGTATCCAAATACCTAGATGGGTAGGTCTCAAATCTATTAATGAA